TTCTGACAGCATGTCAAGTCATATCTGAATAATATCACACAAACCTTTTAATTTCTTCATAGATAGGAAGCACAGCAGTATGGCAAACAAATGAGAAGGCCATGGTTGGCACAGCATATGCAGTCTAGTAGGTATACAAACACAAAAGAATTAACACACTGCCCTGCCGTCTCCTCACATGCATTTCTTTATTATTTATACAATTGCAAACGGCACTTTCATAATAAAACATTTAAAGGTTATTGCTACAATTCAATTAATCCTAGTTAACAAATGCAAGAAAACCATAATGCAACAGTGAAATTAGAACATAAAAGATGCACCTGACATCTGTGAGCATATTCAAACCTGATCAATACTTACATTGAGAGAGAGAGAAAATAATTTAGGTTCACAATCACCATCATCCGATGGAGTACTATTTGTAGATGTCGTTGGCACAAACGCTGTTGCTATAGTCACGACTGCTGGAGATACCCATGTAGAGTTACTCAAGAGGTACTCCTGTGTTAAATTGGTTGCTGTTACATTACTCCAATCTTCTGTTGGTATCGGACAAGGAAATGAGAATTTCTTGAGAATAACCTGCCATAACAATATATTAATAATATTTATTTAGATTTCAAATTCCCAAATTTTAATGTAGCCAATATGAGAGGTCAGAAGCTCATGTCAAAAGTTAGTGAACTATTTTTTTTTTATCAAAATGCTCTAGGAAGATGCTATATGCAGTTCTTGTGAAATTGATATCTTACCACTGTCGTGAAGAATACCATACAAAGAACAGAGAAGCCACTAGTGTATCCAAGAAAACCAATATTTGGAAGCAATGCGAGGGGAGTAATGATAATTAAGACCATCAGTAACACTAAGTAATCACCATTTAAATACCAACCACTGAAAGAGAAAAAGATGACAAAATAAGAAAACTAGTGTACAATATTAGATGACATGTTGAACACCACTGCCCTTTGCTTATCCACCTTCGTATTTTAGGACACTATAGTTATGAATTCACATGTAAGGTTTTGCAGTAACTGTTTATGGTCACCAAGGACATTAATCCTAGAGATAATATAGCACTTGATTTGTCATTTGAGCCACAAATTTGTGGGAGGACATGCATTTCAATACAGATATAAAGTCATGTACTTACTCTACATGGGGCGGTGCTTTCATGAATGTTCGTATCACATGCGGCAGTTCGTTTTTCACAATAAATAAATAGGAAGACATAGCTGTGAAGAAATAATGTATCAATACAGACTGAAATACATTTAGACATATTTATATAACACTATTTCCGCATTATTGACACATGCAGTAACATGTGGGAATTGTAGTATACTAACCTCCAATATTTTGTAAAAGTATTGCAAATGCAGCCAGAAACTGAAAAACAAATGTGTATGTATATTAGATGTACCATCTGATATTCACATATGTAAATATGGTACTTGCACACAAATATGGCATCCACACGAGCAAATATTGTATCGACATGCAAATATGGTGCCCCTCCCACACAAATGTGGTGTCCACATGTGGAAATAAGGTGACCACATATGAAAGCATGGCACCCACACACAAATCCGCATGAGCTAAACACGGTATTCACATAACTATATGAATATGATATGTCCACATGTGAAAACTGCCGATGCAAGACAGCCGTTAACTATCCCTTTTAGTGTCAACCAACAAAATGGAATGCACTGGGTCCTTGTATTTCCATCGTCAATTCATTGGAGTATTACTGTTTACAGTGGTGACACTCAACACGAACATAACATTCTTTATCAACTGTTATATTGAATACGAATATCAATACTGAGTATAGACTCAGAGATTTTTAAATTCTTTGTATAGAGTATACCTGAACATAATATGGGTAAAACTAAACAAGCATGTATGTACCGTAGGTTGTTTACAAAAATGATTTTATGCTTCAATGTTTTTTGCATTTTGTACATTGTTTAAAAGACATTTGAAAAGTATATAAATGTTTGAACCTATTAACAAAAAAAAATTCTAATTCTAAGCGACAAAGTTATACTATCATAAGAATATTAACAGTATTGAATGTAGGGATGTTAGGTTGGTATGATCCTAGCAACTGTGATTATGCTCATAGCAATCAGTATATATTATATTTTAATTCTGCATTTAAAGCAATATTTAATATGCTATAAAACCAGATATTCGTATGTAAGTCAGTTAAAATAATCTATACATGTTATATTTGTTATTTTAATAGAGAAGTACAATGCAATAGATCACTTTCATGACCTCTAAAATTAAAAAAATGAATTTATTTTATTGATATTTCAGCACAAAAATGTTGTTGTTAGAACCAAAAATTACATTAAAATTGTGCATGTTTGTGATACTATCATAGCAACAACAGTACCAGGATGTGTGACCTTTAGGGATCATGAAAATGGCCTATTACTTGCTTGATGCAATGACATGGCATACAACATACTTTTCCAGTTCTTTTCAGTGCAATCTGTCCAATGTCTTCATAAGACTTGACTTGAGTTACAGCACACATTTTTAATAACAGATGTAAAGAATATGCAGCTACCATGGCAACTGTCACTAAGAGAATACTGTGTGATTAAAGCAATAACAAAAAAAATAAAATAATTTTAAAAAATTGCTACAAGTAGAAGTCTCTTTAGCTGAGATAGCTCCGCAATGCACATTGCAATTAGAAAATTGATGATATCATCACAAAACAAACAAATCTAAGAAAGATCCCCCTGTAGTACTATCTACCGGTATATGTATAATATAATATAATATAATATAATATCAAATCAAATCAATCAGACAAGAAATTAAAAATATCACTTTTTACCAAAAGTGACAAAAATATTCATCAAAATTGAAGAAGTCGAAAAAGTAAAAAGTTGATGCGAAAAATTGACGACGACGAACAATCAGTCATATGATAAGCTCTGCTTGACAAAGTCGACAACGGAGCTAAAAAGGGAAGTGTTTTTTTTTTTCAATAACATAAGACATAAAGCAATCAAAATTTTACTATAACAGTATTTAACAATACACTATGCTGGCCCATCAGGCCTGCTCCTTTTCAGTCATTGCACCACACAATTTATTTGTTTACGTGAAATTCTCTAACACACACTGCGTTATGACTTTAGTGCTTCAATCGATACATTGATAAACACTGTTCAAGATGACAAACATTTACATTGACAACTTTCTCTTCAGGTCATCACAACTACATTTTGATTTTGCCTTTCAATTTGACTTTTTAATCAGTGCAAGATACTGTTTCGTGAAAGACGTGGATTGAACATCTGCCACAAAAAGATCAAATGATTTGATTTTGAAGCTCATTTTTCTTTTTTTTTCAAAGTTCAATGTTGATCTTTCAGAGAGGATATGGCGCTGAGATATCCTTATTCATCAGAATTGACTATCATCAAATGTGTATATTAGCTTGTAAATACTCAAAAAGCACTTTTGCATTGGTCAAATCTTGTGTGATAGTTTGATGTTACTATGTCTACTCAGTGTTAGTCCCACAAAATGCAGGATCTCAGTGAACAGAAAATTGGACTATTAAATGTTTGTGGCCAACAACTTTCAAGGATGGCCAAGTTATTGGTGCAGGCCCTGCAGATCATCAACTCTTTGATGTAAGCAACAAACATTATCCCTTAAATGACTTTTCAATACATAACATAACTTCTTACATTTTTTTATTAATTAATTTCATTATTCTGAGAGAAATTTCTCAAAATTTTTTGTGTTTTACTTGGATGAAAGAACACTCCAGGGGCAGAATCAGCAAGAAATCTTTACTTAGAGATGAGAACCCCTGTATTTATACAGATAACTTACATCAAGAGATAGAGTGCAGCTATAGCAACCAGAGACAAAACTGCTTGGAAACTAAGGTGAAGAATGGTCAAAAAATTGGTAGACAGCTTGAACAGAGGTGCTCACCTGAACAATACAATACCACTCTCAGACATTGCATATGAAAGACCAAGAATACCACTGCCCAGTACAGCATTCATTAAATTGAAAACAGACAGACCAAAAGAAGCTTTCCTTGGTTTGAATTTATCTTCATCATGTGCCTTTGATACGTCCTGGAATAAAAATAATGACAATTTGCTACCTAAAATATATTTACTGTAAAACATGTTATTTTAATTAATTTAGTTTATTTGTAACTTATTTAATAGTAAAAGAAAGCACATTTTCACAATAAGATAGTTGGTAATTTAGCTGCATTAAGATTCTGTTATATTATGCATTGACTAAAATTCGCTGAAATGTGGTCCATTTAATACTTGGGTGTAAACATTGAGGAAATAGTTCTGCAAGCCCATGCAATTAAGTTTAGCGACATATCAATGGCCAACTGCTCAGTTTTTATTTTTATACCACTATTCTCTACTTCTCTCAGTATTCATGTTATACTGATTCTGCGTGTAAACAATAGGTTTGTCATTATATGGAGACTTGACCATATGGACGGTAATAAACTGGCAGCTGTCAGAAATCACTTTCGGGTTTGCGCATCATGATAAGTTTGGTGTTGCAGCCTGACTGTAGACATTACGAACCTGGTCACTGTCACTACTTATAAGTGACGCAGTTACATCCCGAAAGTCATCGTTTACGGATGTCGCCATTTTACTTTACTAAAGTGACCTCGGAACACAGACCACCTAGGTTTGTGTTTAATAGTTCACAGAAAGTGTTGTTGCCGCGGTGAAGAGGTACTTGATATATCCACAGTCCTTCTATAGAGGGACTGTGATATATCGAATAGAAATAAATGATCAATCTTCAGAGACTGTCCATTTAAAACGTTGAGGTAGCGGATGATTTTCTAGGGCAACATTTTTTTCTGCAAATATTCACATTTCTCATTATAAATTAATAACTGAAAACTTCTCATTTGCATGTAAAAAAAAATGCAGTAGGTCACTGTTTGTTTTCATACATACCTATTGTTTTTAATACGATTTACAAAATGAAATATGGATTTTAAATCCCAACATATTAAATTAAAGAGGGGGGCATGGGGTATAGCTGCTACAGGTTACAGGAAATAAAAAAGGCATTTTACGTTTTTACAGGGAAAAAAATGAAAGTTTCATTTACAATAAAAAATAGATTTTTACACTTTATAGATAAAGCAAATTCCTAATTACATTTTTATAATATATTTGATTATTTGTTTTAAGAATCAAAATTGGAAATTGTGCATGAATTACAACATTTAATGTGGAAAATGCTTTATATACGCTTACAAAAAGTTAAAGCTTATTACAAATTACGGACGAATAAAATAGCTTATTACATTCTACACCTTGCCTATGTCTACGAAATTATGTTTTTTATTTATTTAAATTACATTATTACAAAAAAAAAATGATTACAGCTTACAAAAAATACCCCTTGCTGGCCCTTATTAAATATAAATAAAATCAGTGTATCCAATCTGCCATTTTTCACCCTCCAGAGCTTTTAGAATGGCAAACATTGGACCAATAATTTGCAGATGTGAACCCTATGTTTCTGAAATGTTGATGTAGAATTAACTTGAAGTCATATTTAAATCAAATACCTAATGATATATTGACTAGCGTTCCTCATTTCAATGACAATTTTTGACTAACCAATATTGTGAAAGTTACCGGGGACACTCAAATTGGAGCATGCTACAGAGTCATAAATGAGATACAAATTCATCCCATAGTTTTACAACCTGTGGATCACATGTTATTACATGTTTCAAAAATTTGTGGCAATGTTTTTAATTTGAGAAATTAGTTGCCAAATTCTGCAGAGGACAATGTCATTTCCTGTGCAGATACATAACTGAGAGGTTAATAACTTAAACATGAAAAGTATTACTAAAGAGGCATGCTCTTCATATCAACCATTATACATCAAATTATATGAATTTTTCAAACTGAGCAGTTTGAGGGCGTCCTTGATGGCTATCTGTACTGTGGACATTAAAAAATATACTATTTTGGGAGACGCTTGAAGATTTATAGCATTAAAACATTGTTTTTTTGGCACAATATGTCATTGTTAGGCAGTAGGCGCATGATGCCTATGTATACCAGAGCCTGATTGATAGTAACAGTTTGGTTTTGAAACTGGGTCTTTCTCATCTCTGAAGTGAATGCCCTGTACACCCATTGTTTTTTTTTAATGACAAAACAAAATTTCAACACTGAAGCACAGCCACAGTAATCTGCACATACTACAATCAATTAATGACACACAAAAAAACAGTGTACAAATTAATTTATTGGTGTCCGGACAAAAAATAAAATCTGTCAAAACTTCAAGTTGATCAGATGGTATACAACATATGTTTACTTGTGATTCTGGGCTTCAGTTTTCTTTAATTTTCGATGTTTGTCTAAGAGTACAATGTATTTCTCATTGTAAACATTGAGTAAATGCCAATAGAACAATACTTTCCCAATATGGGTACACTAGTGATGCAAAAGTTCAACAGAAAAAAATCTTCTAAATAATTTGCACACATTGTTTTAAGAAAAAATATGTCATTCTTCTTCAAGTCTTGTGTTCTATTTTTAAGTTTCTGTTTGGCCTCTTGCAGGGGGTCATCAAAAATGGTCATGTCCTATTTTACATATAAACTTTCAGTGAAATGTGTTGAATAAAGTAAGACATTGCCATATATATTTTAGATCCTCCAACTGTGAGAGCGATATATAAGCATGCAACGGCCCCCTCACAACACCTAGCCAGGCAGTCAATCAGGGAACACCATGTTTGTTTTATCTCCAATCAAATGGTGGCTTATATAAAGACTTTGGCTTGTCAACTGACATCCATCTCTGTACTGTCACTACCGGTACTTATTGTACTAGACACACTAGGAGTTGGAGATGGTGATTTTTCAGGGACATAAAAGAGACCGCAGAAAGCATCTTGCATGGCTCTGTGACAGGCAAGCATTGATTGATATCCACCACCAATGCCTTGAGGAGATGCTGGACGAACATGTTTAGTGTATCTGAGAAGACAAAGTAAAAAAGAAACACGTCAAGAGATGACATACATTTGCAATGCAATTTTATACAGGTACCAGTACATATCACTCAGAATGTGACCATAACAAGCATGTCACAGGTATGGCTCACCACATTCTTTAAAACTAAATGGCCACCAGTCAGCCATTTCAAATCTTATCTATTAAAGAATGATGTGCAACAAGGTCCCTTGATGTTCAATGAATGTACCAATACTAGGTTTGAATGATATCAAGGAATGGCTGAACCGTGACAAAATTATATTCTATGTAAACTTCTGTGCACGAACAGCCAATAAGCAACAACATATGTTTATAAAATTACTATATAGCCAGAAGACTGAAAAGGTAAATTTCAATATACATGTATTTCCTCAACGAGAAGCACATCTCTAAGGTAAGCACACACAATTAATACAGCATGGTCAGCAGTGAATTTATGTAAGCATTCTTACTTCAATAATTAAGCAAATACAATATTTACTTGAATAAAATAGAAAAAAGGTTTCTTTATCACAATGATCAACAAAGTCATTAGAACAAAAATTTGATGCAGTCAAATGTTTCATTTTAGAAGGATGGGATGAATGATATAACGTTATTTACCCTAGAGTTTCAACCTCTTGACTAGATGGGGCAGCCGGTCCAAATGTTTTTTGTGTTACTGCTTTGTATATAAACAAAGTTTCTTCTAGCTTCGGAATAGGTAGAAAATTCTCATCACCTCGGACACCCTTAAAAGAAATAAACACAATTTTATTGGTCATAAGTTATAGGATGAAACCAGTTAGGGAATTAAATTTCTTTAATACAGAACTTGTCCTAGCATATGACCCCTCTTCCCAGCGACCATAAAAGAGGCTGAAATTAGAAGAATCAATTTGAAATACAACCAAAGACAGAATAATATCGAAGGCTCTTTGTGTATAGAATTTTTTTTCTCACATCACCTTAAAATATGCTATTATTCAGTGAAACAAGCTTGAAGTGTTCAGAGTACATGCAAGCTGGCTCAAATTCATAGATGTATTGTTTTGCATCACAAAACATACTACCTATCATCCACGTAATGTACCAAGCAGATAGAGCAGATAAAAATCAGATGACAACAATATAATTTTATCCTCATTGCACACCAACTACATGTAGTACCGGTATGAATAAACACATATTTACAGTACTCTGACAAAAGCAAAGCTTCCTATTCAACATTGCTTTCACGGCTCAATTCGTAATTCTGGCTCGTTATGTTATGAATCGCTCCGTAGGACAGTATTTTTCATCTTTACTGATCTTGCTAATATTAACAAATCAGGGAATGATGTACCATGATGATCCATGTAGGGGATAATATTGTTTTCACACTTACAACAGACCAGGAATGCGAGAATAGCTTTATGTTTATTTTATGTACACAGTGAGTCTGGAGACACACAATTCTCAATCTGTTTTGTATTAATTTTACTGCCATGTCATTTACAAGAAATGATTACATTGGTAGAGTATAAAAGTTATGAGAGAGATGGTGGATGGCAAAAGCAGGAGCAGAACTCACCACTCTAATTCCTGATGAAAATTTCGTTGCAGGTTTAGGAACCGTGATTGGAATGGATCCATAGCCCAACGGCCTATGAACATCTTTGGATTTAGCCTCATATGTGGCTAAGATATCTTCAACATTTTGATCAGAAAACATCTGTTTTAGCAATAGAAAAAAAAATTCAACATTATCAGAAATTCAAATTCAACATGATCCATACTGTCTAAGGAAATATTAACAAACTGACTGATAAACACAGACAAAAACAGATGTCCCGGATTCAGACTGCACCTGAACAAGAACTGATAGCAAATACATACCAAATCATCAATGAGAGCTTCTCTATTTCTTGTTTTCTTCTTTTTTTCTTCTGTCTTTTGTAACATGTACATCTGTCTTTTTTCCTCCTCTTCACATCTCTCCTGTTCCACCAGTGCCTCGATGTAGGCTTCATCTTTACTCTGCAAAAATCAATAACAATATTATTTATTCCCTTAGTACCAGATAGTGTTAATTGGCCTTATGAATGACCTCTAAAGGTCACACATCCTGGCACTTTCTGTGGGTATTATAGCCTTATAATAGTAATAATTCATATACCATATCTCAATTGTTGTCATGGGACTGCTTTTCAGCTTCAATGACAACTGAATTTTTGGGGAAAATAATTGAGAAATTCTCATTAATTGCGCATCTGTACTCCCTACGATGTTTTACCTCTAGAAGGGTCAATTATAAAGCCATATCATATTTAATACACATTCTAGAGATGTTAGCATGTAATACCTGGGCTTAAAATTGTGTATAGCCCCCCCCCCCTCCTAATTTGGAGGATCTTTGATGATAATAAAGATTTGTTTTGTTTCTTTTCAGCACTCTTACTCATTTTGGTTGATATATAATACAATCCATCACTTTACTAAAACTACATAGGTACGACCAAACAAAACTTGAGTATTACATTACAACTACAAAGAGAAACCAGAAAGATACATTTAGATATTTACAAAGCTAGAATCCCCCCCCCCCCAACAATGGTTATTCAATGGTGTAAGTAATAATTACCAGTTTTCCTTTGCTTTTCATTATTTGTTCCCTGTTAGCTTTTCTGTACTCCTCCATTTTTTTCTTTGTAGATTCCACATCAATGTTATTGGCAAGGTTGAATACTGGGGACATAATGAGAAATTGTATTGCACATCTTTGTGGTATGTGAGAAATGTGTCAAACCTGTGGTTGTACATACAATCCAAATATGTATTGTTCTTTATCTAGTCTAAGTATTCAGGTGGATTATGCATGTGACGGCTTTTATTTCAAATTCAAGCATGGGTTTGTTTTTTTTATCTTGTTTATAGAAGTTAAAAAATTTTTTTTTTTCTATTTTTTTTTTACCTTCAATCAGTTTGGGTGAAAATTGTTGAAGTTAAAACTGGGCACCATTCCATGTGGTTTATCTATCATCAAAATATTAGAGAATAGTAAACCAGAGTTAATCATTTTTCAACTTCCCAAGTTCTCAAAAATTATCTCTTTGTGGGAGAAAAACTTCTTGATTTGTCCACAGTATTATGTGCCTTAATAAATTAAATTATTACTATAGGAGAGGTAGGTGGGTTAAAGACATCAGCTGAATAAACTTTAGATGGAATTTATAAAACTGAAATCCACGTGTCATGCAACAATTGTTGTTGAATGCAACATGTTCAAAAGTTTACACATCCAAGGTGATTCTACTATGTACATGACTCAGCAAACAAATGGAAAACACAGAATAAAAAAAAACTTTCAACTCACTTATAGTTTCTATGTCTTCTAAGTAATCATTAAATTCTCTTAAAGTGGAAAAATCTTCCTCTTTTTTGCAATAACTAGGATGAAAATAGATCATGAAAGTTGACTAGGACTGTTTCATACTTCATACATACTCATACAGAAAAGAGCAAAACATAGCTCGGCACGTCTTGATGTTAACTCATAATTGAATTTAATAACAAAAAAAGAATTCTCTATACACTATGTATATATAAACACAATTTTTCGCTTTGTTTTAATTTTGCTATTTGTGCTAATAACTGAAATTAAATCCACATGAGCATTTAAAATTAAATACAACTATTTCACTGGAAATTCTGTGAATTTAAAATCCAGTGAATATTTGTGAATTAAACAATATAATAAAATGGACGAGTTGTGTACTGTGCATTTGGAATGTTGGTGAAATCTATTCTACCATCCTACCATATTCTACGTTTGTTGACGTCAGGTCACATATACTATGCACAAGAGGACAAATGATAAATGCGAAAAACAATATCAATTGACATAGCTAATTAAAGCTCTGAATTTACAAGTGATATGCCTGGACAAAAATATTTCTCCCTACAGGACCTGGTCATTTAGATCAGTCTAGGGTGGGTTGGTGAAAATAATTTGTCATATTAAATACAAGTAAAAACAAAAACCAGTTCTGTTCTAAGTCAGCTAAATAAGATTAATATACCTTGTAAGTGTTGAGTTGTCATATAAATAGAAAATCCAAATACAGAGAGGTTTTGTATTTTATATACTATGGTTCTTGCTACACAAGCCTAAATTCACTGACACTTTGACACCATAATTAAAAAATGAGCTTATCATCTGTGCATATTGTTCTCATTTGGGTTTGTAAAATCTTAATTTGTATTCGTAAAATTTCCATCTTTATTCCTACTAAAAATCCATTTGTATTTGTAAAATATGCATTTGTACTCGGAAAACTTCCAATTGTATTGTTTTGTAATATCTCCAATTGTATCTGTGAAAACCATCATTTTTATTTGTATACAAAAAATCTCTATTTGTAGTACCGGGGTTTTTGTAAAATCACCATTCGTCATGTATTGGTAAAACATTTATCTATATTCAAAAAAACCACAATATGAATAAATTATAGTAGGTGGTAAATCACTCACTCCTTTAAAATTCTTTTTCTGATATCTACTTCTTTTTCCACAACTGGATCTTCAAATAGCTGCAATCTGAAATTGTTTCTTCTCAAGGCAGTATTGCATTCCGGGCACGAGCCAGAACCTCTGGCAAAAAGTAAGTCTACACAATTCTCACAGCTTTAAAAAAAATAAAATAAAATATAGTGAAATTTTTAAAATAAAATAAAAAAAAAAAAAACACAGATTCATAACAAAATTATACATGAAACGGAACTTTATTGTTAGGGCTTTATATCATAGGCGTACAAACGACCACTCATTGGTTAAGATATCCTAGCTGGCCGATTGTTGACGAATCAGAAAAAAGAAATCATTCTGCGTAATCGACTGTTTTGCCGATGCGAAAAGTTCGGAACAGTTGTCAATCTGCCCAAAAACAGCAGAAAAATAACATATTAAATTTAAAAATTTCATATTTTATATGTATTTATATAATGGATTCGGTATCCTTCAAACTTTCCGCGCCAGGAAGAATTAAGCACAATTTTAACAGCGCAGACGATAAAGTCACAACCAAGTTTGTGTCGGTTGAGAAAACATGCCGTTATTTTAGAACTACAGTCTACAGGTAAGTTCGTACATATATGACCTCTGCGCTGATATTTTCCACAATTTACAAGTGGGTTGTGTATGTGTACACCAGTGAGTGTCAACAGAGTTAGCAACACTCCCTGAAAAAATCAGTTCTTGAATAAGTCTTGTTCTTACTTGGTAATGTTATGGCGCTAAATAACACCGGCCAAGACAGCCGATTTGTAATGACTGTACTTACAGCGAATGACCACAAATGTTAACCAAGAGCTTCAAGGAAGGGTTTCGATATTTTGTCGTCTTGCAGTGTGGACAATATTGGTCATCCATGGTGATAATTGTATCAGTACACAATAATTTCCTTTAGATTATAACAGCGTGTGCGAAAACATTACGCTTCGTCTTCTTTGTTTGGCTTCCGGGTCAAATATTTTTTTCGGTTTGTCGCAAGTCGTCGACTGCTGGCGCCTGTGAAGGTTCATGCACTGGGTGAGACACCATTGTGTCAACACAGATGGCGCTATTCAGCACGATCTGCGTGTCAATGGGTGAGACACTGTTCATTTTTGTTTTTGTTTATACCGGTTGGATTAATTTCGCTGAAAAATGACGAACTCTGGAAATATTTTTTTTTAATTTCGTTTAAGTGCCCATAATTAACAAATCTAAATAGGTCTATTTCGACAAATGTAATTTTTGTTTTGTTTTTAATGAGTAACGAAAATATTAGCAACATGAGTCAGTTTGGTGGATGTATAAAACAGTACTTTGTTATAATGTTGTACTGTATTTTGTTGTTTTGAGATCACCTGATTTTGCTCAGTGGCAAATTGTAAATTGGACCAGGGAGCTGTAACAGATTGACGTTGATGGCGCTTTGGGACTCAATAAATGATCCTAAATTACCGTTTAATAACCCAATTTCGTTTAACCCTTATCCTGTCAGACCCATGTACTTTTACATTGACTTGACCAGATAAGGGTTAAATGACTGAAAAATCTCCAAAAAATTGGGGTGAAAAATGATCGGCCGAGAAACAACTTGTGGTGCATATCTACACACCCCTGGAAGCCCCCTGGCCATTACGTCATCTCAACTCATCGTGTTGTGTTGTGTTGTGAGACGATATTGCGAATGTATTCAATGAGCATTCCGTTGGCATTACCAGTTATTTATACCTTTCTTTCTGTTCTCAAATTTCACCAATTTGCGTGATTTTGTTAATTTGATAACCACAATGCACAAGTTGAATACTAGTAGTATGGCAAGTGATGATATTTTATTTTTAGTTTGTTTATTTTATTTGTGTTGTTTGGGGAAAGAACATAAAATGTATGTTCTCCAGAAGACATAAAAAGAATAATAGCGTCTGAAATTGTTTTTACCGAAGCTTGATTTCCAACCTGTGCGTTGGTGATTCTACGTGTACACTTCCAAGAAAACATGTTGAGGGCAGCACAACCAACTAGAAGATAAAATGCAGTATACAACTGCAAGCCGCGTTCAATCCAATCCAGGGGTCCTCTTACATAATGAGGTTTACTCAAATATCTAGCATGTGTCCAGTTTTTACAAACTTCTAAAATTATACGGTGTGAAAATGTCACCTACAGCATTTTAGTCAAATGATTTTCGCCCGACATTTTCCTAGAACAACAGAACTGCAGCCTGTATAAGATGCATACTACATGGCAGGAAGACATACACCGATCAAACAACTCAACAGCTTTCGCCTGCGACTTTGTTGGTTATGTGGTACACCCTCACTAGCATAAAACAACGTTTTAACGTCGGTTGTTTTTAGTATAGTTGGAGATTTGGTTGCATCCACCATGTAAGCATGCACGCATGTCAATTTCTCAATCATGCATAGACCAATAGTTTGAGCAAGTTACTTTACTTGGTTTAAGGCAAGTTACTCAAAGTACTAGAATGAATACGGCCGCGTTTACGGCATATGCTGAATAAAGTGACAATGAAAAACACCCATTTGCATCCATGGCATTGCAGTGTCCACGTTGGTGGCGCATTTTAAACTTACACCACCAGATACTAGATTTCATGTCACTTTCAAATGGTGTAATGAATTCTGTCTCATATTTATCTGGTTCAAAATTTTTAAATTGAAATGCATACGAAGAACAAGTTCAATGTTAATAACGTGTTCGCTCAAATATGCGACATATGCTTTTTTCTTCTTCTATTTCCCTTGTCATAGACGATTTCAACGTTGACTTAGCATATCCATCAAACGGAGCGCAAACATAAATTAATTCACGAGAACTTTGTCCGAGCTATAATTTAGTCCAATGTTCACTGTACTAATAATGCAGCGTAATATTTGTCGACCAATATTTGTTAAAAGAATTTTAGTGGAAATTTATTTTTTATTATTTAAAAGTCAATAGTCAACTTGATAACTTGGAATCCGAAGCGTTCTCCAGAAACGCTTAACATTCCTACTATCATGCATATATTGTGCAGAAATTTACACTGGGATACGTCACCAAGCGAATACTTTTATGCAAATGAAGACTAATGAGGAGTTTCTTTGTACAATAAACGACCGATAACATTGAAACTTTTTTTCATCAAAATATTTATTTTGTTCTAAAATATGTGAATTATGATAATATTCATAATCAATATGTGATTTTGGATATCGGGGTAAAATAAGACGCATGTAATAAAAAACAACACACAAATACCAAATGATAACAAATATAGTGAAAATAAAATAAAATATGAACCGTGCAGTATATCACATTATTATAATATTCAAATGTGTTTTAGGTGGACTATAACGACACTAGTAACATTCGTTAGCCCGTGGTATCACAATATAGGCATAAGGTATACGTCATTCTACCATGTCATCTCATATCAAATTAATGACAATGAGCTTATGGTCCAACGTATTGTTTATTATGATGATACAAATATTTCATATAACAAGTGTGACTCCACAAAATATAGAAGTAGAACGGTGCGCCAATACAGTGTAACCCGGATGATCCCACAAGTTTGTATTGCATAACGTACTCGGATTGAAGTGGTGGTAAAATACGCCGATCACCTACCCAAGGCGGGATGTTACAAAGATTGTACTGCGTATTCCTATCATGTATATTGATCACATGGTAATTTTTACGCACACGGTTGTATAATTTGAGTAACCTATATAATGCCATGTGACCAAAAACACGCAATGATTGTCTTGTTTGAGTTTTGTCTTGCATATGTGTGACATAAACTAACAGGTCATGCGCAATTTGTAACGAAGGAATATTGGGATCACTGTACGACATTGCTTTGATAGCTCTCCACCGCAGATGTACCGTGTTAATGCAACTTGTGACAGACATCTCATTCTTCTTTTCTCCTCGTTCCACGCTAGGGAGGTTGCACACAATACAGACGATTGTTCGTCTCGTTGGTACATAGGTTCTTACACCATTGTCTTTGCACTGAGCTGCCACGGGGCACCGCACGTAAATCCGACGGTAATTACCGGGGATTACACCGAGAAAGAACCTGTGAGATAAAACGTTTGTGACTTTTAGTTATACACTGAGTTGTCCTTCAATTGTAGGTGAATGCCTTTCAGTCGGTAAAGTAAATATTTTAGATTTCGAAATACATAGGTTACCTAAGCATCCCTTGGAAAACAGTCGGCACTGCTCAAATCTTGTAAGTAGGCGCATACTTTCAAGAGACCGTCTTCGGAATTATTCTTGCACCGCGGGGGATTCGGATTCTTCAAAGTTGTTTACTAAGTCAGTACAGTGACTCGATCTGCCGTATACCTGTGGCTGTCTTACTGAGTATCAACATTGGTGTACTTGGTACCGCCCTGGGTTTTGTTTTGTAGGCAATGCTGACTTTGGGGGTATGTTTAGATCATTTACTCAAATAGTTTTGCCAATACATTCTATTTTGAAGGAAGTTCAAAAAACACACGATTTCTATTGATGTGGTGATATAGTTACCCCCATGTTTCTAGCTAGTTCAGCGACGCCAAGAGCAGAAAGAGCATAGATTACTTACTCCCAAACTAAGTAGCTTAAGTCAAAATTAATCTAAACTTATTAAACTAGAAATTAACTGTGCATTCAATAGGTGATTTTCCGAACAATTGCGAGATCTCGCGAGATGCATGAAAGACGCGCGTCGAACGTCTGCCGCAAAAATCGAACGATTTGATTTTGAACTAGAATTTCTTTATTTCGCAGCTTACATTGACCGGCCGATCTTCGACAGAGGAATATTGCTTCCGAATACCCTCACTTAATCGAAATTGCCTATCATCAAATGTGGACAGCACATTATTAAGCATGGAAATGTCCCCGAAATACTTTCGCGTTTGTCGAATCCCACGCGATGTTTGACGCGACTACGACGCTATGACCTTTGTTTGTCCTGTTTTTACGTTCGATTTCACGCATAACGCGTGATTCTCGCAGTGTACGGAAAATGGTCTATTGATGTACGCTCAACTATGACTAAATGGTTTTATGTAAACATAAAATTGAGAAAAAATTGTTTGATTGCCACTTAAATAGACAAGATATAATTGCTAACTATGCATAGACATTTGAGTTGAACTTAATAAGCTCGATACTAACTCGTACTTGTACATTAAACTGGAAATAAGTATAGTTTTAAGTATACTCAGTTAAACTATTAGCTATACATTTAACTAAGACTAAGTATTAGGTGTTTGTCTTAATAATAAATTATATCATTATATTCAATTTCTAGAATGTAGCTGTAGTTAAACCTAATACGAACACTTAAAAAGTTAAACTCAACAAACTAGACATTACTAACTGTAGATTTAATTGAGATAATTAGATTTAATCAACTAGATACGTGAGATCATTAGCAATGGGCATTGACGCGCCAAACTAGCTAATATAGTAACTGTAATATAGTAATTGTAGCCAAACATAATAAACTTATACTAGTAACTATATGTTTATTTGACAATAAGTAGTTAAACTCAGTAAACTAGATACTAGTAACTATATGTTTATTTGAGAATAGTAGTTAAACTCATTAAGCTAGATACAAGTAACAATATGTTCATTGGAGAATAAGTAGTTAAACTCACTAAACTAGATACTAGTAACTATATGTTTCTTTGAGAATAAGTAGTTGAACTAACTAAACTAGATACTAGTAACTATATGTTTATTTAAGAATAAGTAGTTAAACTCACTAAACTAGATACTAGTACATATATGTTTATTTGAGAATAAGTAGTTAAACTCACTAAACTAGATACTAGTAACTATATGTTTATTTGAGAATAGTAGTTAAACTCACTAACCTAGATACAAGTAACAATATGTTTATTGGAGAATAAGTAGTTAAACTCACTAAACTAGATACTAGTACCTATATGTTTATTGGAGAATAAGTAGTTAAACTCACTAA